TCTCAAACCCCCAGTTATGTTGCCTGCTTGTTGCTTTCAGCTGATGCCTAGCGGCAAGGTGTCATGGTCAGCAACGTCATGGTCAGCAGTGTCTGGTCACAGTGTCAGCCAAAGGCTGCTGTTCTCCCTGGTGGATTGCAGGGTTTTTCCCATTGACCCAATGAGCTATTTCCCATTGACCTCCGCTATCTCTGGCTCTTCCTCCAAGAAGGTTCTCATTCATGCCAAATACATGTATACAAAATCAGCTTTTTCAACTTGCCACCTATGTAAAGGAAAGAGCTGACCAGTAACAGCCTCCTCTAAAGCGATCGTCTCTCAGAGTAGGAGAGAAACATTAACTTCTTATTAGAAAGATGATTCTCTGTTATTAGATCAATATTTCATGTTTCTTACTGTTATTTTAAGGACAGCATCTGCAGGAGGAAAAAATGCATTGACAGTGGGTATTCAACAGCACCAACCAACAAACTCTTTTGGGAACTCAATCCAGTGCCTCATTGCTTATACAAAATTTCAAGAAATTAGAAACTATTGCAAGAGGTCCTTTTACCCTTTTTAGCTCAATACCTGACAAGAGAACAGAAATAAACTGAATCCTGAGGCCTGGGGCTCAGCTGCGCCCCATCTCCTGTTATAGTAAGCTCTATGTAACAGGAAAATAGTTTCCATTCCACACCACTGCAGTTATACTGGTTATATAACTTTATATCTATGTATATACGTAAGTATATATAAATCTGTCTGCCTTTTTACGGAGGGGATCAGCAACATCTATGTCTAGTTTAGTTCAATTCTCTTTCCCAAGTGGAAGGAAATGACAAAGACAGGAACCTATTGGCTTGATGGGAAGCACAAAGATATCTTGAGTTTAGCCTAAGGAGCTGTAGATGAAGGCTGAGGCTGAGGAGAATACGGCTTTTAGCTTCCCTGAAACGTTGAGGTTTTGTGCAGAGATTTGTGAGAAGCAGCATTTGGAGGAAGAAGCTTTCCAGGTGAGAATCCCCAGACAAGAGTGCTGCAGATTTGGGAACCTGGATGGGAGGGCCCCTGGATGATGGGCTTGCAGTTACCCCTGCTCCTTTGACTTTTCTGATGGGCAAGGCTTGGGTGTGCTTCAGTTACACTGAAGATGTCATGTCTGCATCCTCTGCTTTTATTTGCCTCATCTGTCATATTTTGCCAAGATTATTTGTCTTTGTTTTTCTGGAGCAGGCTGCTATTTCTCCATTACTCTTCATCTGCCTTTTTCATAAGAAAATTTTCTTCATACAGGAAGTATTGCTGGCATTTTGGTTTTAAGTTCATTTAAAACATCAAAGAAATAGAAATAACCAAATTAGATGCCACTTGACAGTGTTCAAGTACTTTTTGAAGATGTAATAATTTTGATGCCCACGAGAGGGCAGTTTTGAATGCTGCAATTCCAGGCGAGGCACTTGCTGCTGTGCTAAGGGAGCCAGTTTGCAGGGTAGCCTTTCTATGCTATGGAAAACCCGATTAAAGCAGCACTGTCGTTATCCTATCACCGCCAAACATAGTGGCAAAATCCACTTATCCACGTCTGAGCACTGTTGCCGAACGACATGCCCAGCTGGGCCCATGGAATGACTCCCAGCACTCAGCAGCTGATCCTCCTGCGGCCTGTGCCCGCCAGCTCTCCAGCACAGGCAGGGTAGATGGTCTGACCTGTATTTATGGAAGTAAATGTGGATGTTAAGCATTTGGTTCAAAAGTATATCTAGGACACTTAAGTTTGCTTAAGTGTGCTCCGGTGCCTCACAATAACAGAGGATGTGCCTCCCACTTGCAGAAGGAAACATTCACCCTCACGCTGTGGTTCCCAGTCAGTAAGGCTGGAAAATAAGAAGGATGTCTCATCTCTCTCTCTCTCTCTTCCTTTCTTTATTGGTTGTATAAAATTAATGGGAGGAAATGACCAGGAAAATGAGCAGCAGAGCCTGGCCTCGTGTGGCTTTCTGCCGCGAGGTGTAGCTTGGACCAAGCATCTAATGATGCTTCGTGGTCCTCGGCACCGTACAGGCCAGGAGATCCTGGAGTAATGGAGAGAGAACCCACCATGGCAGGAAGCCCTAATGCAATGCATAAATATGTTTTGGCCAAGGGTTTTTGAAGACAAAACTAGAAGCTTAATATTTTTGGATAGGTTAACTTTTATATATGTATGTATCACTGTGTGAGCACCAATACCCACTATGAGTTGCTTTCACCTGCTAATTTGAATCTATTTTAAACAACTTTTATTTTCACTGTAACTGGAAACTCACTGAAGTCATAGTTGCAATAGGCATCTTTCAAATCCCTGAATCAGCTCTGGATTTCCCACATTTCATCATGCATTCAAACTGTAGTACATCATAAGCATGTCCTGCAATACCCCTTTTCATTTATCTACTTAGAGGGGGAAAATCAGAGACATAAGTATGAAACGCTTTATTTTCTAAGAATGAACCGTACACATTTTGCTAAGCTTAATTCTAATAAAAGGGGATAGAATTACCCTATCACACAATAAAATAAAATAAACATAAAATTAAAAAAAAACAGAAAAAAACAGAAAAAAATTGACATTTTAAAAGCAAATGAACTGAGAGTTTATGCATTGCTGAAGCAAATTCATCATGGCAGGAATATCTGTGCAAAGCACCAGAATTTTAAAAAATCAATTCGAGGATTAGTAGAGCAAATACTAATGTCCTGAGTTCCGAGAACTCGGCAGATATTGATGGAGACACGTGCCCGAAGAAGTCCGATGCATCGGGCAGACCCTGCTGCCGTCACCGGCTGGAAATGGAGCCTCACGCAGAGGTGACTGCAGGGCCCGGATGATGTCGTGTGTATTAATAACACCCAGGACGTGGACCAGAAAGCGCTGGAAGGAGAAACCCTGCCAGCTATTGAAGCGCTCGGTGTGAGGAATGCTTGTGAAATTGCGGTGCTCAGAAAGGCTGAAATACACGTTCTGCTTATGGAGCAGGCAGTAATGCCGCGTGCTGTCTGCTTAATATCGAGCAGTAATATCGAGCAGTAATATTGAGCCTGCTGGTGCCAGAAACCGTGCACGGGTTTCTGAGCCGCGCGCTGCTTGATCTTTGACTCCCGAGGACGCCCCTGAGAAGGACGTCTCTGTCGCACTAAAACACGGGGCATGATGCAAGCTCAGGGAAGGCAGAGGGGATGGCAACGGCCTGCAGAAGTCCTTGTAGCTGTGCAGATTAAACCCAGCTCGTGTCTGCAATAGATAAACCCGCCTCAAGGTGGCTCTGCAGGGCCGCTATGCGGAGATGTCTCGGCGCTGTCGCACATGGGACCGGCTCTAAGTTTCAGCCTAAACTGAGAGGCCACTGGCTGAGAAGACCTGGATTCTCTTCTGTCCTGTAATTCTTAGACCTAATCCATCCACCATGGGGATATCTGGGTTGCTTGGTCTTCTAACAAGCAGCTTCAGATCTGACCAAGGCACCCGTGCAAATTTCACACTAAATTAAAAGATGCACTCAAGACAAACTCACCAAATTAAACTGCTTTTAGTAACACACAGCTGAAGAAGAATCCCCCTGCACTGAAAGCGAAGTTTTAGCCTGGCAGAGGAGGGGACACGGGGCAGGTCCCGCGCGGGGCTCCCTGGCCCTGCCGCCTGCCCGCAGCAGCGTCGGCTGCGAGGCCGGAGCCGCCTGCCACGGCTGCGTCCCGCTGCACAGGGCTTTCTCCTGCTTCTCCGCAGGCTTTGGAGATACGAGGTGCATCTGATGCAAAAAGGGTCGTGTCCTTGGAAATGGGTTGCGTCGGTGCAACCAATGTAAAATCAGTTTGTGTTTTCTTCAAAAAGACAGTGCGTGCTCACAGACTGGGCTGACTTGGGGCTTGGCATTTAATTTCGGACCTTTTAAAAAACCTGTTTCCCTCATGACGGGGTGAGGTGGCGTGTAAGCCCCAAATGCACAAGGTCGTGCAGTCCTGCGCTCATCCAGACCCCCATTTCCCTGCAACAGGTCCGCATTTTGTCCCGTGCAGGTTCATGCACCCTGTAGCAGCAGCAGCAGCGGCAGCAGCAGCGGCAGCGGCAGCAGTGACAACCATCAGGCCCCGGCACGTCGCGTGGCCGGAGCAGCCGCGTGCGCCCGGCTCCCAGCACGGCTGCCCCATCCCTACGGCTGCTCCATCCCAACCGGGATGAGGAGCGGTGCTGGTGGGAGCGCAACCACTGGGCTCTTTTGGCCGCCCTGGCACCGGGGGAGCCTTGCGCCTGGCGCCAGCTCGCAGTAGGTGCCAAGAGGACCTGGCTCCTTCTGGGCAGCATCCCCTGCAGCTGGGGCACCCGGTCGGCACTGAAGGGAGCCTGGGTGTAGCCTGTGGGAGCCCCTGGAGGGGCTGGGTGTCTGCGCGGAGCTGCCGCCCTGCGAGGTGCTGGAAGTGGGAAGGAGCCTCCAGGGGAGCTGGGGTGTCCCCTGAGGCGCTGGGGCCCGGTGAGGGTGCTGGGTGTCCTGCGAGGGGCTGGAGGGGGTGAAGGCGCTGGGGGTGCTGCGAAGAGCGCGGGGTCTCCAGGGGAGCTGGGGGTCCTGAGCGGGGCTGGGTGCCCGGGGGGGTGATGCTGCGGGGAGCCCGCGCGGGGCCGCTCTCCGCGGGCTCCGCCGGTCCCGCGGGCCCCGCCGGCCCCTCCCCCGCGGCCGGCACGCGCGGCGGGCGGGGGGGAGGGGCGCGCGTGCCGCCCCGCGGGGGGCGCCCGGGCCGCGCGCTCCCTGCCCGGCAACACCACAACAAAGGCGCGCGCCGCCCCATTGTCCCGCGCGCCGCCCTATTGTCCCGCGCGCCGCCCCGCCGCCCCGGCACGAGCCGCAGCGCCCCGCCCTCTTTCCCGCCGGCCAATGGGAGGGCACGGGGCGCCGCGGCGCCGGGTGCGTGCCCTATAAAGGGTGCGGCGGCGGCGGCGGCGCCTCAGAGCGCCCGGCGAGCGCGTGGCGAGCGGAGCTGGGAGCTGCGGCGGCCGCGCGGGAGCCCCTCGCCGTTATGACTCTGGAGGAAGTGCACGGACAGGAGCCTGTGCCCGAGGGCCACGACCGGTGAGTGCGGCTCGGGCGCGAGCGGCGCGCGGGCGCGGCGGGTGGTGGCCGTTGGGGACCGTTGGGGACCGTTGGGGGCGGTTGCGGTGCCGCGCTGACTCGGCGCCGTGTCGTTCGCAGGATGCAGGGCGCCGGCAAGGCCCTCCACGAGCTGCTGGTGTCGGCGCAGCGGCGCGGCTGCCTCACGGCCGGCGTGTACGAGTCGGCCAAGCTGATGAATGTGTGAGTATCGGGGGGGAGCCGTGTCTGCTCCGCGAGGGAGCCGGGAGCGGGCCCCGCTGCCGCCGCGGCCGCCGGCGCTGACGCCCTGCTCCTTCCTCCCCGCAGCGACCCGGACAACGTGGCCTTCTGCGTGCTGGCCGCCGACGAGGAGGACGAGGGGGACATTGCGCTGCAGATCCACTTCACCCTCATCCAGGCGTTCTGCTGCGAGAACGACATCGACATCGTGCGCGTGAGCGACGTGCCCAAGCTGGCGGCCATCGTGGGGGCCGGCGAGGAGCCGGGCGAGCCGCGGGACCTGCACTGCATCCTCATCACGGTGCGTGCGCCGCGGGCAGCGCTGCGGGCCCGGGCGGGCGGCCGGCACCCTGCGGGCCGGCAGGTCCCCGGGGCGAGGCGGGAATGGGGATGGCATCCAGCTGCGCCATCCCGCTGTGCCTGTTGGGATACCTGTTGCTCACGCAGGTAGCCCCTCTGCTTCCTGCATTGCCCTGCTGGTGGAGAAGCCAGTTAAATAACTTGCTGCTTGTGCATCTGAAAATGCTGTGGTGACTTCAGCTGTGCTTATAGAGTGCAACTTTGTTTCCCCTGGCAGAACCCGAATGAGGATGGCTGGAAGGAGCCCGCGCTGGAAAAGCTGAGCTTGTTTTGTGAAGAGAGCCGAAATGTCAATGACTGGGTGCCAACTATTGCCCTGCCTGAGTGACGGTGACCCGGTGCGCTGGGGAGGCTGAAACCTTTGTTGCATTCTCCATGTGGTGTTGGCTCACCGAGGTGTGCAACAAGCTGCTGATTCCATGGATTAGCCTGGTCAAGAGACTGGATTAAAGTCGCTCAGACTGGCACACAGTGGGCTCTTACGGAGGAGAAGGGAAACGACCAGCTCGCTCCAGCAGCGAGCCCTGCTCGGCTGCAGCAGCGAGGGGCTGACGTGCCATGGGACTGAAAGAAGTACTGCAAGTTTCCTGGTCGAGTGGAGCTGTTTCGGAAGGCGGAGAAAGTTGAGGGAAGTGGGCCAAAACTTTACAGGAGGACTGGGCAGGATGTTCTGCCCAGGAACTGTTGGTGCTCTCTACAGAACATGAAGAAAGGAAGTTTCCTTATTTGATGGACTACTTAAGACTGGTCACTGAGACAAATACACAGAGACTCTTAGGCAGATAAGCTTCAACAGGCCTCTGGGCCACTCTGCAGAACTGATTTAATAATGCAATAATTTTTATTGAAATTGCTGCTATTGAAGCTTTCATAATAAATTTTTGACAATTAATTTCTGGGAGTGTCTTGCTTACTGGGTGGGGAAACACGTCACTGAAATACCTGTGATGTTTTACTCATGTGCTGTAGTCTAAAGTGTATCCCGTAGTAGTGGAATTATTGCTGAACTACTTTCTCTGCTGGGCTGGCTGAATGAAGAGCTCTGCTTTCCAAGCTGATAATTCAACCTTTTGCCCTCTTGCAACAGCTGCTTATCGCAACAGCTTGCAAGACCCAGGAGCTGCATGCCTAATGAGCTCGACCATTGTAGTGGGTGGCCTTTGTAGTCTGTAGGAGCAACACAATGCATGTTAGAAACATGGATTTCTGGAATACAGGCCTCCAGTAAATTACATCATTAGTTGCTAAACAGGGCTCGTGTGGTAGGAGCTGCTGTGGTCCCGCTTGACAAACAGCTCCACAAGGGTGGGAGGGGGGTCTGCACAACCATAAGATGTCAAAAACATGGAGCGTTTGCTTTGATTAGAGTGACATGGTTAAATCTCAAGCTTGCTAGTGCTGAATAAACATCACATCTGCCACAAGCTGCTCTCTGATGGCCATATGCTGGGACAATGGAAGCTGTCACTCCAGAAGGCAATTTTGAGGAACTTAATTGCAGGACAACTTCAAATGAGTTCAAAACACTTTAAGAATCATGTGCCCCCCCCCCCCCCTTTTTTTTTCCTTTTTTTTCTCAGAGATCCTGTCAGGGGAAGTTAATAAGGGTGGATGGATCTTGCCCTACACTGCAATGGGAAACACCCTCCCTGGGAGCGGGTTCCCCCTTCCTGCGTGCTCTGGTGCTGCTCGTGCAGCATCAAAGCGGCTGGCACCTCTTCCCAGCTCCTGCGGGCCGGGAAGCGGCTCCTGGCCTGCACCTCATGCCAGCTCCTGTGGGCCAGGAAGCGGCTCCTGGCCTGCACCTCATGCCAGCTCCCGCGGGCTGGGAAGCGGCTCCTCAGAAGGGAAGCTGCCCCCTCGGGACTGGCGCTGCCGTGCTGGGGTGCGCTCCCTCCTGCTCTGCGATGCGGCCGTGTTCCCGCATGGAGCAGTGCGCGGAGCTCCCGCTGGCGCCTGCTCCTTCTTGCGCTTGTGGTGAAGCGCTCGCTGTGCAGCCCGCTTCTCTGCACAGCCCCTGTGCTCACCTGCTGGCTATGCACCGAGTTTTGAGAAAATCATGCTCAGAGAAGGAAAAAAGAAAAAAAATGGCACCAGGAGCTGCAGCAAAAGCTGCTCCGGGAGCTGGATTCTAAGCCAACAGCAACTGATTTATTTATTCTTTCTTTTCAAGGCAGTTGCCTTATGCAGAAAATATCAAGTCTGGATGCTTTATTAGATGCTTTATGTTTTTGCATGAGCTAATACAGACTCCTTTATTTTATAGTGGTTTTGCAGCTAGGAAAGAGAACTCTACCCTTTGCACTCAGAAAGCTGAGCCAGAAACAAATTAAAAAGAAGCGTCCTGAAGTCAACTTTCCAGCTAAGTAAGAGGAGTACATTGCAGCCTTGAGTTGTTCAAACAACTGTGGCTGAGCAGATAAGAGTGAAGGAAGCTCCCAGGCAGCTTGAGCAGTTCCAGCAGAGAGGTGTGTGGCAAGCTCGGTGGTTGAGGCTGCAGGGACGGGTCCTTGCACCCGGTAGCAGGTTCACCCTTGCAGCCTGCACAGGGTCAACACGCTGCAGAGCAAGCCATGAAACTGCTGGAGCAAGGACAAAATACTCATGTGAGGATGTTGCCTCTGGCTCCTTGGAGGATGGCAGGGTGACCTTGGCCTCTCTGATAGTCCTAGGAAGCCAGAGCCTTATGAGAAGTTCCCAATTTCTTATTTAAGCGACCATGCAGTTCTGGTGAAATGCCTTCTGGCTCAGTGCAGATGCAGCGTAGCACAAATAGTATTAAGCCCAAGTCAGCCTGGAAATGTTATTAATACAGCTTTGCAAACAAAGACAGCTATAACTTGCAAGCTATGTACTGCTGCAAGTATTTCCAGCGATCAACACTACTTAATGCAGCAAACATTTGGCAGCTGGTTTCTACTGATACAGGCAGCCCTCGTCCCTCCGCGCTCAGCCAGGGCTGCTGAGGGCCATGGCACCAGCAGACCCCGCTGTGGGGTCTCGCTCTGGGCTCGTGTCCTCCATCCTGGGGCATCCTCATTTACTGTGGCCCGGTGGCCACATCAGGTGGGCTCTGGGAGGGGAACTGAGGTTCCTCGTGGCTAATGCTAAGGGATTCCCTGGAGAGGAGCCAGCAGAGCCAGAGGCAGGAGGGGCAGGACCCCAGTGCTGGCTGCCTGAAGTGAGGGGCTCAGGCTGTGCTCATGAAGCTCTGCTTCCCATGCCGGGCTGGGAGTCACGAGCAGAGGGAGAGGTGCTGGAGCCACAGCATATGTACCAGCACTCGTGCTGGGACAGGAGGAAAAGGGAGATTTTTCTAAAATTGGAGAAAAAAAGTCTTTAGGAGAGGAAATCACAGCGTAGATGACTTGAGAGGAGCCCAGGGAGGCAGGGTTGGATGGGTCCTCACTTGGATGCAGGTGTTAACCAGGAGGCCCCTTGCAGCCAAGGATGTCCGTGCCCAAAGCCCTGCACCTCTGAGCCACGGAGGGATCCAAACCGTGTATTTTAATGTTATAGCCACAGGCAATTAAGCTACTGAGCTTGTTCTATCTGTGTTTCTGTGAGTGCAGTTTTGTGCTTAGCAATGTACATAGTTTCATATTAGATTTCTCCAGCAACTGAGCAATTTAGATTTCTTGGGTTCACATTTCTTTGTCTGGGTATCTATTACCCCATCTATCAATGCTGACTGACAGGAATTTCTCCTTGTATTTGATCTGTTTCTTTCCCTTAATTCTGTTTTCTTCCTGTTGCACTTCTGCACATCAACTATTTTTTCCTCTCTTATAGCTACAGATGCTGATCTCTGCCTCAGATGCCTGATTGTTTTAGTATGCACTATACTGAGCTAACTGCCTTATCTTCTTATCAGACTATAAATGCCCATTGGCACATAGGACACAGTTTCTGAAAACAAAGCTTTCTCTTTACTCTGGAGTCAGAAGTACGGAAAGGAAGCTAATAAAAAGTGTATTAGAGGCAGGCAAACTGCTGCATGGAATCAGATGGGCATAAAATTTGTGCATCTGCTAGGAGACCTGCTCCAAAAGCACTTACAGCGTTGGATGATTGGGAAAAGAAAGCTCTCGCAGGCTTAAAATTTTGCAAAACTTTTGGAGCTTTAATCATAGGTGGAGGCTGCTTGAATTAATGCGTGGTCTGCAAGGAGCAGCCTTTGCTGCTAGCAGCAGAAACAGGCCATTGCAGCGCTGTCAGATATGTAAAGGAGCCCTGATTCATGTCAACCATCTATTACCTCCCAGTTCCCAGATCCCCGGTCATCAAAAGGAAGGAGCAGAGGGAGCACAGGTTGCTCAGTGTCAAGTGCAGGGAAAATATATTGGTGCTGGAAGCAAGTGTCATCACATGTGAGGTCAAGAGGGACATATGGAGATGGACGTGTGAATATTGTATTCCTTATAGGGGCACGTGTGGAGGTCAGACGTGTTCGAGGCTATGTGTGTGCAGCATCTCAAATTCACGGTGTCTGTTTAAGCAGCAGCAGCAGCAGCGAAAGGAGAGCTTGGTGGAAGGTGCAGCCTCATGTCCAGCGTGCCTGGAAGGAGCCAGGGCTCCCCAAGGCCTCTGTGCAGGCAGCATTGGATCCCTGCTCCTTCCTCACTCAGTCTATGGTGGCTGGTGTGACTTGCTCACTTTGTAAAGCCTGAGCAAGCAACAATGGGATGCTGGAAAAGCTGAGTGAATGCCTGATATGCAACTGTGTCACACTGAGAGAGTGAATACTGCCGTTATTTCAAAGCGTCCTGCAGCAAGATAACCGTGCAGGCAACTTTCAAAATGTTAGAGTGAATGTGAAGCATTGATTGGATGTACTGGTGTCTTTAAGTGCACAATAAGATCCACTAAGTGCTCTTCCAGTCTCCTGCTGTACTGGCATACAGTTGATTTGCCATGCTTATGTGAAGATTTTTGTGCATGGGAAGAACACAAAATTAATCTCTTCTGTGTACCCATTCCTCTCTGTGGAACCATCATTAATCCAAGATTGCGAGTCTGGATAGTTACTATGAATGTACCCTGGTGGTACCCTGTACCACTGAGTTTTTTTCTATATTTTGGACAGAAGATAACAGTAGTATAGCAGGTGACCTGCTCAGTGAGGTAATATGACCTGCATGCTACGACTCATGCCCTATCCCTTCCTCCCCCCTTATTTTTCTTGGAGAAAAGCTCTTCTGCTTTCTTAGATTAGGTTACAACTTAGGGTGCTGGGGACACATCAGGGAGCAGGCAAGGAGAGCAGACCCCATCTTCCTCGGCTCCCATCTCAATGTGGATGGAACTAGGTCTAATGTAGTAGACCTAATGGCATGCAGTATTTGGGGATGATTTCCAGATGACATAAGGATGAGTAGGACTGTGCCTAGGAGAAGATATTACAGAGCGTGCTGAATCACCTGGGTAAATAGAGGCCATGTCACAAAGCATGTTTTAGTACAGTAAGTGCTGGGTGATGTATCTTCTGGCACAGTGGGAGGTGATAGCTGCTGAAAGGGAGACTGTAAATCTGACATCAGCACCAATGTCTGCAATGTCCAGCATTTCTGTATGCTTTTGCCCAGGTTTAGCAATGTTACGTGAAAAGCAAATTCCTTCCTGTAGGCTGTTTTATAACATTTAAGTGTCCATGTATTAAACAGGAAGATGCATACCATCATTATCAATATTTTCAGCCCACCCCAGGTCAGATTTTGGTTCAAAGTTAGCAGTACAGTGGAAACTGCATGGATGCACCCAGAAAGTGAAAGCCAGGAGAGCATCCCCTGTTTTCCCAAAGGATCCTGCACCAGTGCATTCTCTTCCTGCTCCGTGCCGGGCACGATGCCCTGCGCCGGCTCCGGCAGTGTCCTCACACCGG